ATCTCCTTGCTAGTAATTGGTCTGTTCAGACTTTGTTTCTTCATGATTCAGTCTTTGCAGGTTGTATATTTAGGAATTTACCCATTTCTTTTCGGTTGTCCAATTTGTGGCATGTAATTGTTCATAGTAATCGCTTATGATCTTTTGTATTTCTGTGGTATCAGTTTAACATCTCCTCTTTCATTTCTTTTTTGTTGTTGTTAATCCTCACCTGAGGACATTTTCCCCCCACTGATTTTTTAGAGAAAGTGGAAGGGACCGAGAGAGACAGAAAGGGGGGTGGGGAGAGGGAGAGAGAGAAACATCAGTGTGTGACAGACACATCGACTGGTTGCCTCCCTCATGCTCCCTGATGGGGGCTGAGGATCGAGTCTGCAACCAAGGTACGTGCCCTTGACTGGAATCAAACCCGAGACCCTTCAGTCCAAGAGCTGATGCTCTAACCACTGAACCACGGCTACTATAGTCTTTGGATGGAATATTCAAGATATGTCTGTCAAGTGCATCTAGTCTACTGTGTGGCTTCAGATCAATGTTTACATATTGATCTTTTGTCTGGATGATCTATACATTGACCATTGTAAGCTATTAAACTCNACCACGGCTACTATAGTCTTTGGATGGAATATTCAAGATATGTCTGTTAAGTGCATCTAGTCTACTGTGTGGCTTCAGATCAATGTTCACATATTCATCTTTTGTCTGGATGATCTATACATTGACCATTGTAAGCTATTAAACTCCCCTACTATTACTATATTTCTATTGGTCCCTTTAGGTGTTAATATTTGCTTTATACAGGGGTGTTCAAAAGTAGGTTTACAGTTATGAGTACACGAAACACAGTTTATTCTTGTATTACAACTGTAAACCTACTTTTGCCCACGCCTGTATCTTTAGGTGCTGCTATATTGGGTGCATAAATATTTACAAATGTTATAACCTCTTGCTGGATTGATCCCTTCATCATTATTTAATGCCCTTCTTTGTTTTTGTTGTAAAGTCTATTTGTCTGATGTAAGTGTAGCTCCGCCCGGTTTGTTTTGGTTTCCATTTGCATGGAATGTCTTTTTCTATCCCTTTACTTTCAGTCTGTGTATAAACTTAAGGCTGAAGTGAGTTTCTCATAGGCAGCATATAGTTGGGTCTGTTTTTTTTTTAATCATCTCAGCCATTCAGTGTCTTTTGATTGGAGAATTTAATCCATTTACATTCAAAGTACTTTCTGATAGGTATGTACTTATTGCCCTTCTGTTAATTGTTTTCTGGCTGTTTTGTAACTGTTCTTCCTTTCTGATTTGATGCTATTCCATAGTGTATGATTAAGATTCCTTTATCTTTTGTGTATCTACTATAGGTTTTTGCTTTGTGGTTACCAAGAGGCTTACATTTTGTTTTGTGTTTTTGAAGTCACAATTTACATCTTTGTGTCTTATGTATTTATTAACAAATTATTGTAGGTATAGTTATTTTTACTACTTTTATCTTTTAACCTTCATAATGGCTTTGTATGTGATTAAGTCTTCACCTTACTACAGTCAGGCATCACTTAAGGACAGGGATGCATTCTGAGAAATGTGTCATGAGCAATACTGTCATTGTGCAAACATCATAGAGTGCACTTACACAAACCTAGAGGGTATAGCCTACTACACACCCAGGCTAAATGTCCATTACTTCTAGGCTCCAAACCTGTACAGCATGTTATTGTGTTACAATTCCCTACGGTATGCAATGCAATAGTAAATATTTGTGTATCTATACATATCTAAACATAGAAAAGGTACAGTAAAAATACAGTATAAAAGATAAGAAACGGTCCACCTGTGTAGGGCACTTACCATGCGTGGAGCGTGCAGGACTGGAAGCTGCTCTGGGTGTCAGTGAGTGAATGTGAAGGCCTAGGACATCACTGTACATCCTGTAGACGTTACAGACACTGAACATTAGGCCACACTAAACTTATAACATATTTTTCTTTCTAAATAAACCTTAGCTTACTGTAACTTTTTAACTTTGCTCTTTTGTAATAACACTTAGCTTAAAGCACAAAGACATTTTATAGCTGTACAAAAATATTTTCCTTTTTTTACCAATTTCTTTCATTATTTATTCCATGCATGAACAAAAATATTTTCTTCATATCTTTATGAGATTTTTCTATTAAAACTTTTTAAAAACTTTTTAACTTTTTTGTTAAAAACGAAGACCCAAACATTAGCCTAGGCCTACACAGAGGTCAGGGTCATCAATATCACTGGCTCCCACCTCCACACCTTGTCCCACTGGAAGGTCTTCTGGGGAGCTGTCCTTTCCTGCACCAACAATGCCTCCTTCTGGAACACCTCCTGAGGGCCTGCCTGAGGCTCTGCTTGAGCGAGGTGCCACTCTTTTCAGAAACAAGTCCAGGGTGGTTTGCTTGGTCTCTTTTTTTCATTATAGATTTTCATCATAGATGACGCAACATGAACATTCCTCTCTATTAATGAAATCCTTTCGGTGTGAGGGATCCATGTTTTCAAACATTTTAAGGAGCTTCTTGAGGGCTGCACAAGCTTCTGCTAAGCCCTTCACGGTGCATTTTCTTGGGGCTTCTGCTTTGCTTCTCCTGCAGTTTCCTTTGCTCCTGCCTCTTCTTCAGCTATGTGTTCCTGTTCCAGTTCCGACAACTCCCCATCAGTCACTTCCTTGGGAACCAGCTCTAGGAGCTCCTCAGTGTCATCCTCACCCATAGCCTTGCTGATTTTTGCAGGCTCCTCATCCTTGGCAGATGCTTTGAAATCTTGGACGAATCCCTTGAGTATCTTCTTCCAGACACCATTCATACACTCTTTGGTCAGATCATTCCAAGCCCAAGCCAGGGTCTTGATTCAGTCATAGAGGTGGTGATCCTTGAGAATTGCATCAGTGTCTTCCTCAGTGGCAGCAATGGCCTAGGCAAAGGTCCTTCTCAGGGAATAGGCTTTAAAAGCTGCTATAACTCCTTGCTCCATTGTTTGCATCAAAGAGGTTCTGCGTTTGAAGGAAGAAACACTTCGATATTGGGATGAAGATCAGTAAGTAAAAGGAGGATGTCTGGGAGCATTGTCAACAATAAAGAAAATCTTGAAAGATGTCCTCCCCATAGTACTTCTCCACTTCGCTGGTGTAACAATTCAGGAGGGCACCTTATTAATATGCTTGAAGGCCCTGGGGTTCTCACTGTGCCAGATCAGAAACGGTTTCAATCTGTTGCCTACAATATTGCCCCCACTGTGCCCTGAGTGGAGCAGCCTGTTAAGAACTGTTTCTCTACTTTCTACGGTCCTATGGGATCTGCAACCATGAGCCCCAATAGCCACCAGAACCAAGTGATCAAGGGGGTGTCCCCTAGGTACAATCACTGGGGCACCAGATGTGTGGTGCCTGTGACCTGGAGCAAGGCTGAGTCCACAGTGCTTGGAGAAGACTGTGGTAGGCCTTCAGGTGTCACTTAATTAGAAGCATCTCAGGCTGAAGCTTTAAGATAAGCAAATAGGCCTCTTTCACCGAAAGACTGGATGCTTTTCAGTCTGTACTGGGTGATTCCATGTGCGAGCCCTGTAAGAACTGCTGCTCAGCTTGCTGTAGCCTATGGACACAGCCCCACTGGCTTTCTTTGGAGATTCATCTCTCGGGTGCAGGTCTTAAAAGTTGGAGCCCCCATCATGCGGTTCAGACCCTTCAGTGCTCAGGGAAAAGCTGGGAGTTGAGTCCCTCCCGCTGTGGGTCACCACATCAGGGGTTTATGACAACCTTGGGTCTCAGCCTCTCTTTCCCATTTCAATGTGGGATTTTTTTCTCATTCACCCGATATGTAGGAATCACTCATGTAGCTATTGGGTTTCTGTCATAGGAAACTGTTCTGTATGTAGCTGTAGATCTGGTGTGTCCATGGAAGGAGGAGAGTTCAGTGTCATCATTCTGCACCATAACCTATCGCTTGTGTTTTTGATGGTAGCCATTCTAAGGAGTGAGGCTATACCTCTCTGTGGTTTTGATTTGCATTTCCTTGATGATTAGTGATGATGTATACTTTTTCATGTACCTGTTGGCCGTTGGTATATCTCCTCTGAGATCCTTTGCCTGAGAGGGGCTGGAGCCAGTTCATGGACCTGCAGGGACCATGGTCTGTCTGATGCATGGGCGAGTGAGTCTCCTCCTGGGACCCTTGGTATGGTGCTGAATCCCACAGCTCCCACGAAGGCCCTTTTGTTCATGGATGGATGCCAAACTGTTGTTTTTGGAGGGTGGGACAAAAACAAGGATGTCTTAAGCTACCATGATGCTAACATCACTTCTCAATCTTCTTATAACAAATAATACTGTCATATATTTGAGCATGTGGCAGTTTGCACATGTGGGAGTATTTCTATGAGATAAAGCCCAGAATTACTAGATCAAAGGGTATATGAGGCTTTCATTTTGATAGATGTAGCCAGATTGATTTTTACAGCAGTTTACTCTACCTACAGTACACGAGATGCCTATTTCCCACATCCTGACTGTTTGATTTTACCAGTCTGAAAAGTAGCAATTCATTGTGGCTCTAATTTGCATTTATCTTACTATGAGGGTGGCTGAGATGCATTTCCTATGTTTAAGAGAGATTTGTAACACCTTTCTTGTGAACTTTCCATATTCTTCGTGCATTTTTGTCTCTGGTTTTCATCTTCTATTTCTTGATTCACTGAAGCTCTTTCCTGTTTGATAGGAGTGACAAGTGTTTAGAGTATCTTTGTAAAACAAGATTATCCAAGGAACCCAAATATAGAAAGCACAGGAGGGGCTCTGTGTGTGTTTGAGCTCAGGGCAGGATGCACAGGGTGAAACTGAGGAAGGAGCCATGAGGGGCATCCTTGTCCTGGGCAGAGTAAGGGCTCTGGGTGATACCAGGGTCCATGCCGCTGGGCACTGGGCAGCACCCAGGGCCGCTTCCTGAAACTCACCTGTCTCTGCCTCCGCGGCATTTATCTCCGCAGCTCATGTGCTCCTCGGTGCAGAAGGCCCTGTTTGAGGAGGAAGACCACGTGAAGAAACTGCAGCAGAAGGTGGCCACCCTGGAGAAGCGGAACAGGCAGCTCCGGGACCGGGTGAAGAAGGTCAAGAGGTCTCTGCGACAAGCGCGCAAGAACGGCCGCCACCTGGAACTGGTGAACCAGAAGCTCAGTGAGAAGCTGGCGGCCACAGCGGGAGCCCTCCCGCACATCAACGCCCTGGGCCGGGAGCCCGCAGGCAGCACCTACCTGCGGGGATAGCGGGAACCCCACGGTGCCTCAGCCGGCACTGCTGGGCTTGCCTCTCCCCAGGGAATGGGGAGTGATGGCGGTGGTGGACGTGCACATGTTTCAGATCTTGTAGAAGATATTTTTACTATGCATTTGGTAGTGTCTAGCTGGTTTAAAGGGGAATCTGTCCCTATCTGGCCTGGTCCCAGACACGGGGCTTGGAAGTCCAGAGGTAGCAGGATCCTGGCAGCTGTGTGCTTGCCTAGGGCCTGTCCTCAGCCTCCAGGAGCAGCCTGCAAAGTGCAAATATTGGGGAAAGAACATTTTAGACTCTCTAGATAGATGAGACTTCAAGGAGCTTGGCCTTTATTTCAGAAGAGAAGGCAGTGTGGTCTCATCTCCAAGCTGTAGAACAACTGCTAGTTCTGAGGTGTGATCTGAGTGACATCATGGAACCATCTGGTGTCTCATTTTCTAGACCTTTGGAAGGAGGATGGCGGCCTTGCCAAGCACCCAAGGATGCCTATAAGTAACATGCGCAGGGTGTCCCTACTCCAGCCAGCATTTTCTCACAGCTGAGGCACGTTAGACTTCATGAGCTTGGCAAGGTAAGGGAACTAGGTTGGGCATCAGTTCATTACAAAGAGAAAGTATACCCAATTTCTAATACCAGCTTTAATCAAGAGGGACATGGCCTTTATGGGCCTGTCAGGTTTCATCACGCCACATTCCAAAGTTGGAAAACCCCCAATAGTATCTCAGCCTCTTCTAAATTTTAACTTACTGTTTGCTCAGTAATTTCTTCCAACTTTTCCAAATTTAAGGTGAGCTGCCCCAATACTCTGTGGACTTCTGTAAAAGACACCTCCTTATTGGGATCACGTGACCTTACTTTATTCCCATCCAGGATCCCAAAGGGCTTGTTCCAGGTGTTCAATCTCTGGCTTCATGCAGACGCTTTCTACCCACCAGGACTGACCTCGCCCCGGAGCAGTGTTTGTACAGCAGTCCCCTGTCGTGACTGCACCTGTACACAATCAAACTCTTCATCCCCTTGGGATAGAAACCTTTAAAGACAGTCCTACAACTAAGAAGTAGAGGGCTCAGTGTACCTGACACTCGAGCTCTTGACTTAGGCACATTCGATCAAGTCCCAGTTGTGTTAGTAAGAGGTCAGTTGAGCGTCCTCTCTTGGTTACCCTCTATTGCTGGACCTCCAAACCAAGTTTCCCTCCCCTGCTTTTCCAGATGGAAGCTTCTGGCCTTTCGCTGGGGGATTGGCTGCCCACAGACCACCCAAGACACTACAGGGCCTGATTATTCTGTCTTCTCCACTGCAGTTACTGTGAGATTTCCATCCCACTGTTCACCAGTGGGGAGTGGACCTTGTGCCACTTGTCTTGCGCCACTTATCTCGGTGGCAGGCTCCTGCCTCAGGTACAACTCTGTGCCCTGGACTGAATGGCATTGGAGCTTTTTGCTCATGGGCACTTCATTTCCAAGCTTCTACCACCACTTTATTAGCTGGATGCTTCCTAGTGGGGTACAGCAGAAGGTGCGTCTTCTAGGTTCTTCTTCCTGGGGATATTTCCTTAGGGTGGTTTGCTTTCACTGAAGAGAATGACAAGCCTAAGGGTGATTCACAGTCGGTGTTTGCAGAACTGTGGAAGCTGGATCTCTACATCTGCACTATGTTCTCCCTTTTCAATAAATATGAGCAATATTTCAGCCATAACAGTAAAGTGATGGGTTTTTTTGGGACCAGGGAAATGTCAAGATTTGTCCTGAAAAGGCAACTAGATCCTCTGGGGGCGTGGGAGGGGGAGGGGGGAAGTGAGTAACACCTGGGGCATTTAGGACACTGAGCTGAAACCTCCTCTGCTTCCCCTGTTGGGATGTGGCCTAACCCTGTCTCTCTCAGGGTTTCCATCTCTCAGCACACCTGCAGAAAAGCAGAGCTATCCTGGCCTGCTCCTCACAAGGGACGGCAGCTTCATTAATCAAAGTCATCAAAAGCACCCTCAGACCAGTTACCAAAGGGAACTCCCCGGGTCCCTGTTATCCGCTGTGTTGTCATCTTAACCATAGTCCTTGCCACCTGTTTATGGTATTAGTAGGAATTTTTTAAAAAGATTTTTAAATTGATTTTCTTGAAAGGAAGGAAGAGGGAGAGACAGAAACATCCATGTGAAAACAAAACATTGATCAGCTTCCTCCTACACGCCCCCTACCGGGGATTGAGCCCATAACCTGGGCATGTGACCTAATGAGGAATGGAACTGGCAACCTTTTGGTGTATGGGACAATGCCCAACCAACTGAGCCACACAGGGCAAGTAGGAATTTTTTTATTCAAGAATATTCCAATTATAAATACTCACCAGAACTTGACATATGTCAGCTACCCTCTCCTAGCACTACCTCTGACATATAGGTCATTGTTTAGTTCCACTTTGGGTCTGAGGAGGCCAAGTGTCTTTTCCAAAGTCATATAATAAACAAGAGGCAGACATCTAGAATCTTTAAATACAATCTCCAGGAGTCACAAGCTGGTAGCATGTGGGTCATACCTAGTGTGCAGAAGAGACTTCTTGGGCCTCCACATTGTGTTTGAATGTGAATATCTTTGGTAACTCCAGTTCAGGCCACTGTCTCTATTGCTATGGCTCCCTCTTTTTATTTTTTAGCACTCAGGCTGTGTCACACACTTATGGCACCTACGTGGAAGCGGAAGTTAACAGGGATTCTTGCTCCTGTGGTGCAAGGCCCCATCTTCTGGATAGAGAGAACACAAACTCTGGTCACTATGACTGCATCAACTGTTGGCTCAGCAACAGTCCACATTCTACAATGGTTTAAAAACAATCAAGTACGCAGCATATGTTAGGCTGACGGGATCAGATTAAATATTATCTCATTTAATATTCCTAACAATTTTATAAAATAGTGATCCTGATCCCCAGTCCCCATTCTGGGGCTTCAAGAGATTATAAGTAGATTGTCCAATGCACACAACAGGTACAGGTGGCCAATCGAGTTCCAACTGCAGCTTTGTTTCTCTCTTTATACTTGCTCATCTGTAAAACGGGGATAACAACCACTCCTACCTCAAAGGCTGTTAAGAGGATTGAATGAAATTATTCACGTAAATGCTTAGCATGCCACCTAACTCTCCACAAGCACTCAACAGGCATTACTTAGAATCATTTTTATTTTAAATGCTCACCAGAAAGGCCCAATGCATGTAAGAAATAAAAATATTTGGTGGGACTCTATAATTTTCTTGTCAATCTTTACATTAAACTTGCCTCTTTCCCATTTTCCTTATTTCTGAGCCTCCTTTTCTTTCGCAGTCAGTAGATAGCTGTACCTCCAAACTTACTGAGAAAATATAGTCCATTAGAAATGTGTGTCCTCAACATCCTAGCATGCCACTCACAATTCTCTCCTCACTCCCACCTCAAAGGAAGGCTATCCCTCCTGGCCACATCCAGGGTCAAACCGCTCTCTCTTTTCTTGAGTTCATACTGGTCCTTCTCCAGACCTGGCTTCACCAATGTTCCCCTCTTTTATCATGACTCTTTTCTTTGTTGGGGATTTCTGCCATTATCCTCCAGCCATGTTCAGATCTACTCATCCCAGGAAAAAAACAAACATGGTTTATAAAGTATTGAGGTGGTCTTTATAGAAGGTGACATAGAAGGCTCCTGAATTCCCCTCCTCCCTCAGACACACCAAAGCAACAGCTATACAGGGAGCAGTTTTCTTTGAAAGAAATTTAGAAACTGGCTGTGTGACTCTTACTTGTCGGGGGAACAAAAAAATACCCATATCAAAATGAGTAGAAAAGACCGGCTACACTCTGGCCATAAGCTCCACCCCTGCACAGCGCCATAAAATCAGGAGGGAACCCACAAATCCCGGTTTCTCTCCGCAGTTGGACCCTGCACCTAGCACCCCAACTTTTAAAACTCCCACCCAAAAGATGGGCCCCAAAACACTTAGCTCTGAAAGCCAGTGGGGTTTGTATCCACAAGACCACAAGATTATAGCAAACCGAGAAACAATTATTACTGGCACTCACTCCAGCTATTACCCCAGGATCAGTGCAAAGGGAGCAGGCAAAACACACCCATTTCCTTCTTTTCCTCAGTGGGAGCGATCAGCGCACTTGAACAGCTGCTGTGACGGCCAGGCTTCTAACTTAGCACACACCTAGGGGCTTGCTGAAGTCTTCCCCACACACCAGGGAAGCCAATGGACACCTTCCCTGCCCTTTCCCTCTAGACCGCTCCAAGTCACCATATCTCCCTAGAAGGAACTTGTACACATATCTGACTCAGATGGGTCCTCAGATCACCTGGCTCTGGTCGCCAGTGGGGCTTCCATTCAGGAGTCCACAGGACCATACAAAACAAAAAAGATCTTAACCAGCTATCTCCCCAGGGCTCAGTGTACAGAGATCAGACAGAAACGCCCATCTTCTAGTCTTTCCCTGAAAGAGGTCTATTTGCATAGTTTAAACGCTGCTGCCTTCTGATTCAGCATGCATCTGGAAGCTGACTGCACCCTCCCCAAAGACCAGGGAAGCCACATACAGCTCCTCTGCCTTCTCCCTCTAGTCCACTCCAAGCCTCACCAGTTTCTCTGGGAAAGGAGCCTATACACATGTCTGGTGCCCCAGCTTTTGTGGCTGCCACCTGAGGGACAGGCCCCCGAACTGTCTGGCTCTGATAGTTAATGAGGCTTGCATTCATGAGTCCCACAGGACTGTAGCAAATGAAGAAACAGTTTTTAACAGCCTCAGGAGCGCCATCTGCAACTTTATACTGGGGCCCAGTGCAGAGGGAGCAGGCAGGAAATTCCCACCTCCCACTTTCTCCCTGGATGATGCCTAACTACATACTTTCCCAGCTGGTGCCTGAAGGTGCAGCTTCCAAGGGGCCTGTGTATAGCTGCTGACTGAGATCCTCCCCTTTGGGACACTGACAGGTCTTAGGACACTCAACTGTTTGGAGACATTAGGAACAAAGTAGGTGTTCAATCACAAAGGTTAGAGAAACAACCGGGAGCATGGGCCGGTCTGATAGATGAGGTTTATCTTCTATACAACACCATTCTGTCAAGATTGGGAGAGGTGGCTGTTTTACCTAATACATGGAAACCAGCACAGAGAGTCAAGGAAAATGAAGAAACATGCTCAAAACAAAGGACAAAATGAAACTCCAGAAACAGATCTTAATGGAATAAATAGGAGCTACCTGGTAGCCCAAAATAATGGACATGAAGATGAAGAGCATGCATGAACAAACTGAGAATTTCAACTAGAGATAGAAAATATTAAAAAGTGCCCAACAAAGCACAGCACTGAAGAATGCAATAATTGAACTGAAAAATTCAATACAGAGGTTCAGCATCAGACTAGATCAAAGGAAAGGATCAGTGAACTCGATAGGATAGTAGAACTCATCCGGCCATAGGAGCAAAAGACTGAAGACAGCTAAAGGGACTTATGGGACACCATCAAACATACCAAAATACATGTTTAAAGGGGTTCAGAAGGAGAAGAGAGAGAAAAAAGGGGGCAGAAAGCTAAATCAAAGAAATAATGGTTGAAATCTTCTCTAACCTGGGGAAAGACTTCCACATTCAGGAAGCTCAGATTCTCAAAAAAGATGAATGTAAAAAGACTCACACTGATGCACATTATAATTAAATTGTCAAAATTAAAGACAAGAAGAGAATCTTAAAAGCAGCAAGAGAAAAATAACTTGTTACATACAGGGATCACCACCCCCCCCCCTGCCCAAGATTATCAGCAGATTTCTAGATTTTTAAACAGAAACTTTGTGCGCCAGAAGAGGCTGGGATGATGTATTCAGCGAGCTGAAAGAGCAAAACTACCAATCAAGAATACCCAGCAAAGATGCCCTTCAGAATTGAAGGAGAACATGATATTATATATAGAAAAACATGAAGACATCACCAATAAAACCCAGAATATGTAAGTTCAGTAAAGTTGCAAGATACAAACTCAACATGCAAATATCAGTTCCATTTAAGTTGTCCATCAGTACTAAAGAAGAGATAGAGTTTTCCAGACAAGCAAAAGCAAATGAATTTCATCACCACTACACTGGCCTTATAAGAAATGTTAAAGGGACTTCTTTAAGTTGTTAAAAATAAAAATAAAAAGTGGCTAATAAAAGGAAAACACATCGTAGTATAAATATCACTTATAAAGGTAAATATATAGATAAAATCAGAATAAGGTTGTAATGGTGAGGGTTAATCACTCATAAAGGTAGTATGAAGGTTAAAAGACACAAGTATTAAAAATAACTAACTCCAATAATTTGTTAATGGATCCAGAAGATAAACAGATGTAAACTGTGACATCAAAAACATAAAATGTAGGGGGGAGAGTAAATATGTAGAGCTTTAGAATGTGTTCAAACTTATCAGCTTAAAACAGACTGTTAAAACTCTAAGACATTTTATGTAAAACTATGGTAATCACAAAGCAAAACCCCAGAGTGAATACACAAGAGGTAAAGAGAAAGGACTGTAAGCATACCACTAAAGAACGTCATCAAATCGAAAAGGAAGAGAGCAAATAACTTCTTCCATTTGGTTTGTTGCCTTTTTGTTTTGTTGAAGGTTTGCTTTGCTGTGCAAGAGCTTTTTAGTTTGATATAGTTCCATTCATTTATTTTTGCTTTTACTTTACTTGCCT